TTTGAAATAGGAAAAGGTCCAAAAGGGTAGGGGAAGTGGGAGGGGAAGGGGAAAAGAAAGAAGGGAAAGGAAAAATTAGGAGAAAAGAAAAAAAAATGGAAACGAAGTATGTAAATGGGGAAGGGCAAGGGGGTGAAGGGCGCACAAGTAATGGGGAAAAAACAAGAACCAAGATCCATCATGTACAGGTACAAGCACCCAACGATGAATGTAAATGTACTGTATACCTAAAATGGACCAATAAAAGAATTTAAAAAAAACCTTCAAATCTACAACTATAAGCACGAGCACCCAAGTGTCTGCACCACCAGTCTCCAAGCTAGAGAAGACCAAGCACAGCTGGTGTGGTTTGACCTTGTGCCTCTGAGATTCCTGATGAAAGGTAAACCCCTGTGGGATGACAAGTAGGATTTGGGGGAAAACAAGTCATGAGGACGCCCTTAGGAGTGGGTCAGCAACTCTTAACAGGCCGAGAAGAAACCAGTCCAAGGCCTTTTCACCCCTTCAGTCTCCCGCCCCGGGAGGGCAAGGCAAGGGAACACCCGACAAACACTGAGTGCTGGTGCCTTGATCTTGGACTTCCAGCCGCCAGCACAGTGAGAAATTCCTTTTTTTCCAGTACAAGGGATCACACTCATGAGGGCTCTGCCACTTAGCTACATTCCAACTCCTTTTTACTTTTTATTTTGAGACCAAATCTCACTAAGTTGCCCAGGCTGGGCTCAAACTTCAATCTTCCTGCCTCAGCCTCCCAAGCAGCTGGGTTTATAGGTATGCACCACTGCACTTTACATAAATTCTTATTTATAAAGTACCCACTTTGTGTTATTTTGTTCACAGCAGCATAAATAAAGACAAAAACCAAGAACTTACAAAAATAATTGTTAACAATCACTATGAGATTTTCAAAAAACAAACTAGAAATTCCATTTGACCCAGCTATTCCCCTACCAGGTATCTTCCAGAAAGAATTAAAAACATCATATTATAGTGATACACACATACCCATGTTTACAGCTGCACAATTCATAATAGCTGTACCTTAGAAATGCCCTATATGTCCATCAACAGATGAATGGATAAAGAAAACATGGCATTTATACACAATGGAGCACTAGTCTACCAGAAAGAAAGATAAACTTGAGTCATCTGTAGGAGAATGGATGCACCTTGCAACCATCATGTTAAATGAAATAAATCAGACAAACAAGTTTAAATATTGTGTGGTTCTCTTATATGAGAGGCCCAGAGCAAAAATGATTTTTGATTTTACAAAATCAAAGCTAGATAACAGGAAGAAAGGAGCCAGAGCTTCCTCAAATGGGAAGGGGACCAAGGGATGGAGGGGGGGAGGGAGGGAAAGGGGATGAAAAAGGAACCAAGATGTGTTCTGCCCATCCACCCACTCTGCTTGAGGAATATAATCATTATGTACTAATAAAATAAAATTTTTAAAAAGAAAGAATTGTTATAATAAAAATAATGGGTAAGTAGGCACCAAGTACACCAGGTACCATCAGAAGCATTTTTACCTTCATCGTCACATTCTTATTACATGCCCTGTACATGGACTATGAGTCAGAAAATATCCCTATCCTACTATGAAAAGCACCCTGAGGTTCAGAGAAAGTAAATTACTTCTCCAAAGCAGATCCAGAAAGCACGTTGTTCTTAACCTTCGATTAACAGGAGGGATCCTCTCCTTAGTATGAGTTTTTTTAAAAAACCATTCCCTGATAGCACGGCTGTTTAAGAGTGAAGATATAGAGCCAAGTGTGCTGGCTCATTCCTATAATCCCAGCACCCTAGGAGGCTGAGGCAGGAAGATTACAAATTCAAACCCATCCTGAGTAACTTCACCATTTAGAAACCTTGTCTCAAAATTAAAAATATAAAATGGTTGGGGATGTAGCTCTCTGTGAAGGCCCTGGGCTCAATCCCCAGTATAAAAGAGAAAGAAAGAAAAGATTTTATTATCACTGCAGCAGTGTTCACAACCGAAGAAGGCAGATGTGAAAGGGTGAGGGCTTCATACCCGCACTGTCCCCAACACCTGGCCCAGCCCAGCGAGACCTACAAGCCTGCCTGCTCGCTCGCAGCACCCGGCTCCTATGCCACAGCCTGCACCTCTACTGCCCGCCACATGGACATTCCAGGACTGCCAACTTATGTGCTGTAGAAAGAATTTCTTATTGTCTCTCCTTTTCAGCGCTGGTAGGATTTGGGGTTCCTTGTTTGTGGGTTCTAAGAAAAAAAAGAAAAAAAATACTCAAATAAATTGTATTCATTTCCAGTGATCCTTTTCTGTATGTTTAATAAATATTCTATATATCCCAAGGATATCTTATTAGAACGGAAGTTTACTACCAGTACACATACAGGTACATATACTTGGAGGCAAGGCCCCTCTGACGGCACTTTACAAAACCTTACTTGCATTTACTAGAGTAAACATCTAATGAGAGTCCAAAGATTTATTCTCAAAAGTTCCAGTAGTTCAAGAGCAAATAAAACCATAAAATGTGAGTTGGCTCAGTGTCTTTTGTGGACTCTCCTGGTTAGTGATAGTTTTATTGTGTTTACATTTGCTATCACTAAAATAACTGGCTCTTCACAAGAGTTTGGAACACTTCAGAACTTAAAATACATCGGGTGGTTTGCAATCCCCATGACACCCCGGAGGAAAAGCTGAACAAGGTCCCTCCCCGCTGTCCAGACCACAGAAGCACAGCCACTGTTCAGCTCTGGTCCTGACCTGCAGGCCGGTGCTCAGGCTTTGGTGAGCAACTGCCAAACACCAACTCGGTTCTCCATCAGCATTTAGCCTACAGCATAAGAAAACCGAGGGAGAGGACCCAGCTTTACACGTGTGGTGAGCAGGTGCTCAGCGTGGAGCTGCACCCAGCCCCACGTGCACGTCAGTAAAAACACTCAGACCTGCTCTGTGAGCAGGGTGAAGAGACAAGAAATCCCCACCCCACAGCCCAAGCCCCACCTTCCCTACTCACGGAAGACAACTCTGTAAGGGGAATACACCATTAAAGCAAAAGAAGCCCCTTTTTACAGCAAGCTAAGTCAAAAGAAGTATCTTGCATTTAACTTCCTGTGGCTTTGAGTAACCGAGATAGTACTGCTCCTTTCATAAAATACCCTACTGCTCTGGGCTCAGCAGACTAAAACTCTCAATCATTAAGCTAAAATAAAATGAGCTCATACAATCAGACTTATTTCCTATGTAACAAAATGCCCATCGAGGAATACGTGGATCCAAGATACCTAAAATATCCACATCAAAATCAGATGGAAAACCAATGGCAAATGAGATTATTTGTTTCCCAGTGACACAGCTAAGCTCGGGACCAGAATGCCAGCCTGTAGGAGTGGAAAGAACGCCAGTCTAGAACTCAAGGATGTTAGGTAGCTAGATGGCCCCAAGCAAGGCTTCCCTTACACACGCTCCTTCTGGGGGTTCACTTTCCCCAGTCAAGACGCTGACTGGACCAGTGTGTCCCCCAACCATGGAATGATCTCAACCAACTGTTAACAATGTCACCCCTAAAAAAAAAAGTCACTCCTAAGCCCCTTATGCAGGGATGCAGCTCAAGAGGTCTTTGAGGCAAGCTAAGACCTTTCTCCTAATAAGTGATCCAACTAGCTGGGTGTGGTGGCACATGCCTGTAATCCCAGCACACAGGAGGCTAAGGCAAGAGGATCACCACGAGTTCAAAGCCAGCCTGGGCTACACGGCAAGACACCAGTCTCAAAAATCCAAAACAAACAAAAAAGTGACCCAAGTAAATCTTATAATCTGGTAAAAACACTGGCAAACATTGAATTCGAAGAGCCTCAGCTGCCTGCACCCTCTAGCTTGAATCCTATGCTATCTGGATATTTCAAAATGATGCCCTAAAAACATGCAAAATTATAATAGCTTAAAGAATTTTAAAGCACAATACATAAAATAAACAGGTCATAAAAATAAACAGGTCCATTCCCTGGGACACGTTTTGTGCCTTTAATACCAATAAAACATCCTCCTCTATTCTAAGCAAGTGAGAACTCTTAAATTTAGTGAGGAAAAAGGTTTTCATATGAAACTCTCAGCATACGAGCTAGTGTCTTAAGTGGAAACTGTACAGTATGAGCCTCCTTTAAACATTACCTGGTGACCCGACAGAAAGAAGCCTAGCTGTCTGCAGCAGCTGTGAACAGCAGGCTCTGCCTAGTGGAATGCAACTGCTAGGAAGCTAAACCAAAAGCACTGAACTATAACTAGTTACTAAGTCTTCAAAGTTGCCTCCACCTAGCCAACTAGGTAGTTAAGAGTCCACAGTCTCTGGCAAGGAAGATGATGTCAGGTAAGTGAGGAGCTTCCAGCGTGCTTTCTGCACACAAAAGAAGCAGCCTAAAATTTTCATAATCCTCTAGTGAGATTCACAATTTTATATTCTTATTCAGATTTGTAAGTAACTACAAGACTAACAAAAGAAAAAGAGAAAGACTGTGGAGCTTAGAGGGGCAGAATGTAAAGGATGCTTATTAGCAACTAATTCTTATATGGTAGTCACAAAATATAAATAAATCAAGATTAAATAAGAAAAAAAGATTAAATAAGAAAATTGAGTTTGACAAATTATTGTGTGACCCTTGCGAAGAAAGAGATAAGAAACCAAACGAAACATCATTACATAATTTAGCTATTAGATAAACAGTTGTAGAGCAGCCTGGCTGAAATAGCACACAAGTACAGAACAGTATTACTATAAAACATTTTCCAGATGAATCTTGGTGCCTGACGAGCAAACACTGTAAATATAATTCTTTGGGCTTAGGGTCACACAGGCCAAAAAACTCACTTGTTTCAATGGCAAAAATGGGGATACCAACTGCTGTGCACAGTATCACACAAGCACGGGTTTAAATGCCATGTGTGTGCTTGGATACGTACATTCCTGCGTCCATTGGCCAACAGACTCTGAGGCAACGTCTTGACACAGTAAAACAGGGCCAAGGGGACAAGCACAACAGAGTAGTCAGGAGAGTGAGTTCTGGGGCCGCGGGAGTAGCTGAGTGGCAGAGCAATTGCCTGGTGTGAGTGAGGCCCTGAGTCTGATCCCCAGCACCGGAGCGCGGACACCACCACACAACAACACGGAATGCAAGCCTTGAGGTCACAGGCTCGGGCTAAAACCCCAGACTGACAAATTACTGTGTGACCTTGAATATATCATTCAATCTAAGCCTCATTTGTAAAGTGGAGATAATGCTTCCTTCAGCAATTCTAGGATTTAACAAGCTGATTCATGTCAAGCACCCATCCTACCTGGCACAAAGAAAGCAGGTACTCAATTATCATCCTCAACATAAACAATCTGTAAATTAGCATAATTGCTATCTCTCCACCTCAAATAAAGCTAATAGTTTCCTGGTGGCTAAGTTTTAAAAAAACTCGTAATCATTATAAAGAAGACTTTCATATACATTTACACTAAGGCGGGCCTGGAATTTAGGGCCTCACCTGCCTCGCAAGTGTAAGGTCCTGAGTTCAATCCCCAGTAATGGGGGAAAAAAATACTTATATAAAGGTAGCTTTTCTTTCCACGTTATAGAACTTTCTATTTCTCCCTCTTTAGGAAAGAATAATTCAGACTAATTCTGAACAGCTTTATACAAGTAAACTTCAATACAAATCTGAATTAGGGTGGGTGATTTTTAAGGACATCTGGATTGATGATCCAACCAGTTCCGGGTTAGTTACAGCTGGTATTGTTGGGAATGTTTGTTTTGTTCTTGTTTTCTTTGGAAATGGAAATGACAAAAAAGGAAAGGGAGAAAGGAAATCTTCAAATCATCCCACACACCCTTACTCAACGCAAAAACAACGGAAGGTTGACTGTTAAAATTATATCCTAAGTAGCCGGGGATTTAGCTCGGTGGTTTCAATGCCTGCTGCTCAAGCACAAGGACCTGACTTCAATCCCGGTACCAAAAAAAAAAAAAAAAAATTATGTCATAAGTGAATCAGAAAATGGGATGTAGCTCCATGGTAGTGCTTGCCTAGCACACTGGGTTCAAGTCCCACATTTGCCTCGATTTCTATTTTAAAAAAACAAACAAAAAACTAGAAGATTAAAAAGAAAAAAACCTGGTGAAATGTTTTTACAGATAAGATCCAAGAAAGGGAGCCAGGCATGGTAGCATAGCTGCAATCCCAGCACTCAGGAGGCTGATGCAGGAGGACTGCTACAAGTTTGAGGCCAGTGTGAGCTACATAGTGAGTTCAAGGCCAGCCTGAACTATGGAGTGAGGCCCTGTCTCAAAACAAACAAACAAAATCCAAGAAAGGGAAAGGCACCCATTCCATCCTTTTAAGATCATGGCTTAAATTTCCAATTTGCAACCGTCTCTCTCTGCTATTCTTTTTTTTTTTTTCTGGGTACTGGGGATCGAACTTGGGACCTTGCTCTTGCAAGGCAGGCGCCGTAACCACTGAGCTAAATCCCCAGCCCAAATGCACAGTATGCCATCTGATAGATTTTTTTTTTTTTTTTTTTTGGAACTGGGGATCGAACTCCGGTCCCTGCGCTTGCGAGGCAGGCAACGGAACCACTGGGCTAAATCCCCAGCCCTCTCTCTGCTATTCTTAATACGCCATTAGCTCAACAGTATCTTTACCTTCTACAATCGTCCTAACCAAATATTCTGCATCATTTTGGCTAAGGACAAAAATAAAATCATGAATTATTATTTTTCCATAATTCACAGGGAATTATTAGTAATTCAATCATGTTTTTAACACACATTCCAAAAGACAGTGAGAGAGGTGATTTTTGGGGGAAATGTTCTTCATGAAAATAAATCAGTCACAGAACATTTGTTGAAGGATGACAATGGGCTGGGGATTTAGCTCAGTGGTTCTGGCACCTGCCTTGCAAGCTTAAGGTCCCAAGTTTGATCCCCAGTACCCCCCCCCAAAAAAAAAGATGACAAAAAACAAATTTCAAAATTATACAAATTTTTAAATTTTGAGTAGGAGCAGAATTAATGAGCCTGGAAGTGAATGTCTAAATTTTCAAAGAAAAAAGATACAGAGGTGTAGGAAAGATTCCAGCAGGGAGTACAAACTAGTGTTACCAATCTATAAATTGATGGGAAAAATCCTGAATTTCAAGAGAACTCATATTAAATTATCTGTATTAATACTGGAAAACAGCAATAGAGAATTTCAGAGGCATTTTCAAGCAGTTCCGGGCATCTTCCTGTATTACACTTGATCTTAGCCAAAAGGCCGAGAAGCGATGCATCTTCCTGTATTACGGACAATATTACAGAATGCAGAAGACATTGGTTAGATGCTCTAATTAACAAGAGAAAAAAATAATGACAGTCCTAAAAGAAGCTCTGCCACTAGAGACACTGGACTTTTTCTTACTGTTTAAGCATCTAGAAGAATCTCCTACTTTTAAATGCAAATTACCAAGCTCTGAAGCACATTCTGCTCTATTTTCTTCTATGAAAATCACTGGCCTGTGGTCCTGTTCTAGAGGCGACACCAGCAGCCAGGAAACAGAGGACAAGCACACGTGCTGCATGTTCGGTGACTCAGCCCGGAAGCTGTCACCAGGTACACACGACCTTTTTCAGGGGAAAGACCACGTTAGTGATCAAAATTCTGTTTGAAAATGCTTAGTTTTGAGGATTATCAGGTCAGGGAAGGTTCTACGTGACACGACGCTTATTTCAATACACACACTTGCCTCCGAGCATTAACTCACCAAACTTTGGCTTTCAAATAACACTATCGATTTACTGGAAACTTTCCAAATTTCAGTAACAATAATACAAGTTGCTATGTACGCATTCATGATATGGTAAACAAACAACATATAAGTTCAGGAACTGATGTGCCGTGAACACACCTCAGGTCTGCACTTCTTTTCCTTCCCCATTAATGAAACAGTGGCACAGAGGGCTGACAGGGAAGCACACTGCAATTTAATGTAACATCAGGTGATCAGGGTTAAAAACTAGAATCAATCAAGAAACAAAAAAAAAAAAAAAAGAAAAGAAACAAAAAAGCCATTATTAAGGAATCCATCCTATTGTCAAAGGTTTAAGCTTTTTGCTAAAACCACTTTTGCTTTAGGCAGTTTTCTTCGTTGTCAGCAAATACGCACAAATCGTGAAGAAAGGTAGAGACATTCAGCCTCACAAAAGGTTAACTTACCTCTCTAGTCTTTCCAAGTTATATATTAATTGGTTTTCATAAAGCCCTCTTTTCTAGCTGAGACAAGACAAACCCAAAATAAGTGAATTGTTTCTGGTGGTACTGGACTTTCCCATCCTCCACCCTCAAAGGCAGAACGCTCTTCCTTCCCCAAAGATCACCAAACAACCACAAACAGAAGCTTAAAAAAATGCAATTCCAATCTCTGAAACCTCAGTGTGGATGGATGTTTAAGGAGGGAAAGCAGTGCCCTGGCTTTAAGGAGCTATTTAACTGCTGTCCAAAGGCCTGTGATCAGAACACATCTCCCAAAGGACATGGCATTAGCCAGCCCCAACTTTTCACCTACCCACTCCCAGCCCAGACAACCACAGCAGCAGAATCCTGGGGCCAGAGCATCCCTGGGGGCTATTATGCACGGAAATTATAAAGCCTGCTTTTTTATCGTGGGGAAAACTAAGCGATGGCAGTCTGGTACTTTTAAACAACCTAGAAGTGTTTACTAATTCAATCCACCCCCAAATCCAAGCCACCCTCTGAACTTTGCGATTAACAGAGAAGGGGAAATTCTGGCCAACTGGCTTGGGGGTTGGTCTGAGGGTACCGGACTCAAGGGGGGAGGAGGATGGAGAGAGAAAGAGAAAGCCAATGAAAGATACCAAAATTCCCCACCTTTCTTAAATTCTTCCAGCATTGCGTCCAACTTGGTGTCGTTGAAAACGAAGTGCAAGGGGTGGTTATAAAACTTGGTGATGGTTTTTAAGGGAGTACAGTCATCTGGATCCACGAAGGCCAAGTCCTTGACAAAGAGCAGGTCCACGATGTTGGAGCGCTCCCCCTCAAACACGGGAATGCGCGTGTAGCCGCTCTCCATGATCTCCGACATGGTATTGAAGTCCAGGATGGCCTCGCCGGTAATCATGAAGCAGTCCCGCAGGGGGGTCATCACGTCCTCCACCGTCTTGGTGCGGAGCTCCAGCGCCCCTTGGATTATGTTCAGCTCCTCCTTCACGAGATCGTTGTAGGGATCGGTGACCCGGAGCATCTCCAGCAGCTTCTCCCGGTTGTAGACCGTGCCTATCTCCTGGCCCAGGACGCAGTCCAGCAGCTTGCTGACCGGGTAAGACGCGGGGAAGGTCATCATCATGAAGAACTTGGTGAGGAAGATGGTGTTGGCCCCCACGGCCAGGCCGTGGCGGGAGCAGATGGCCTGCGGGACGATCTCCCCGAAGATGACGATGCCGATGGTGGAGACCACCACCGCCACGAGGCCCGAGCCGGCGATGTCGTCCAGCAGGATGGTGAGCGTGGTGTTGACCAGCACGTTGCCCAGCAGCAGCGAGCACAGCAGGTAGTTGCCCTGCCTGCGCACGGGCTCGATGCGCTTGGCGTAGTTCTTCTCCTTCTCGGTCCCGCAGTTCTGCACGATGCGCAGCTCCATGGGGTCCAGGGCCATGAGACCCAGGTTGAGGCCGCTGAACATGCCAGACAGGCACAGCAGCAGCGAGATGAAGATCACCTGCAGCCAGAAGGGGAGCAGGAACTTCTTCTCCTCCCCCACGATCATCTTGGTGTCCTCGCCGTCGTGGTAGATCCAAGTGGTCTCGGCCCACGGAGGCGGCTGCAGCCCGGCCACCCCTGCGCCGCCCTTGGCCGAGCCGGCGCCCCCCGCGGACCCCGCGGCGCCGGCGCCCAGCGCGGGCGTGGACAGCGACGTGCACAGGTAGTAGGACTTGCTCTTCTCCATCTTGCGCAGCGGCTTGATCTCGATCTCGATGATGCCCGAGGTGCGGCGGTTGAGCACGATGTGCGGAAGGATGATGATGTCCGAGGTGCGGATGCCGCAGCGCTGCGGGCCGCCGTCGGGCTCCGGCGGCGCGGGGCCCCCCAGCGCGCGCTCGCCGGCGCCAGGCCCGTGGCGGCGGCGCTCGTGCTCCGTGAAGGCGATGCGGGACCACGTCTCGTTGTTGATGTTCTGCCCGTACACCCGCAGCTTGACCCGCGTCCGCTCGCTCACCCGCAGCGCCCCCCCCTCCATGAAAGACACGTCGTTCGTGTCCTCCAGCCGCAGCCCGATGATCACCGTCTCCTCGCTCTCGCCGGCCGCCACGCAGCCGCCCGCGCCGCAGCAGGAACCCAGCAGCAGCATCGGCAGCAGCCGGCCGGCCGCCGCGCGCAGGAGCCCCCGGCCGCGGGTGCTGAGGCCGCGGCGCGCCGCCATCTTCCGAGTGGGCAGAGCGGCGGCGGCCTGCCCGCCCGCCATCTTTACTCCGGGTTCACAGGCTCCACAGCCAATCACGGGGCGGCTGCTCCGGCAGCGGCTGCATCCTTCCTCCCGGCAGCGCGAACACCGGCCCCGGGGCGAGTAGGCGACCAAGCGTCCGCCGCCCTGACTGACGCCGACTGGGCCCGGGCCGGCGAAGGAACCTAGAGGCTCCCGGGGGAGGGGGAGGGGGAAGGGAGCAACAGCCGCTCCCGCGACAGGCAGATCGGCCAGCCAGTCACGAACGGGCGCCCGCCTTCCCAGCCAGGGGGCTGGGACGGGGGCGTGGTCGTGCGGGCACGGCGGACCAATGACGAGGCGAGTGGGCGGGGAGGTGAGGACCAGCGTCCTCCTCTGCTAGCCAAGTTTCCGACTGAAAGGCGCGTGACTCTTGTGTATGTGCGAGGGGAGGGGCGTGGCCAGCCGAGACCCGTGAGCCAGTCAAGGATGAGCACCCTCTGGGCGGGGGCGGGGCCGTGTGTCCCTCAGCCAATGGGAAGGAGCGATCCTCGGGCCGGCGCTCGGGAGGGCTGGGTAGGAGTCCCCGGCCTTGCGGCGCGGCTAGGCTGCCGGAGGCGCTGTGCGCGCGAGCCGGGCGGAATCCCGAGGAACCCGCGGGGACGGCTTACGTGCGTACAGGCCGGGAAGGAAGCGACCTTCCCCGGGCGGCGGCGCCCAGAGCCCCTGGTCGCGCGGCGGGATGCCGGCCCGCGTCTCCAGCCCCCTGCCGGTCGTCCCCGCGGCTCGCGGTCACGCGGCGCCATCTGCCGGCCCCACGGCGCCCTGTAGCGCCTTCGGGGTCCGCGGCGAACCGCAAAAGTGTGCGGGCTTGCGGTGGGGTGGGCAGGGGCGGGCGCACGATCTGCTCGTCACGGGCTCCCACGTGGTGTTGCCAAAAGTACCCTTGGACTCCGGGCCGGGGAGGGCCGGGTGCCTGCCTCCCTGCCTCCTAACTGAGACCGGGTCTCGCCGCGTGGTTCGAGCTGGCCTCGAACTCACTGTGTCGCCCAGGCTGGCCTCGAGCTCTCGGCGATCCTCCTGCCTCAGCCTCCCGAGCGCTGGGATTACAGCCCGGCTCGAATCTGTATTTCTAACCAACACCCACACCCAAGCGAGTCTGGCAACGAGAGGGGTCAGCGTCCGAAGCAAGTCCATAGAGGCTCATTCCTCTTTCAGGTATATTTTATTGGTTTTACATTAATTTTGCGTAATACTGGGCTCGGTGTGGTACTTGCATATTTGCATATATTCTGATCACTACGTCCCTCCCATCTTCCTTACCCCCTTCTCACTTTATTCTCGTGTCTCTCACACCCTCCCTTCTACTCATAAACGCTTATTGTTAATCACACTGCCCAATCCTGTAGGTTCCTAGGTGGCGCGGGAGAAGGGAAGTCTGGGACCCAGTGCCCCGCCTCGACTCCAGTCGCGTCTGGAAGGGACACGCGAAGTGGCCCCGACCGGTCTGTTTTTCTCACAGGTTAAACGCTGGCGAAGCAGTTGCATCCCACCTCTTTCTGATCTCTGTAAGCGCCCTGTGCTCCATTTCTGTAAACACAAACGTTTCTGATTAATTTCCGGGATGGACGCAGGGCCCTTCTAACTGGCCTCTCCCCTTCCCCACCTGTCCCTGTGTCGCCCCGTCAGCCAGCGATCTCGGTAAATCAGCCGTGACTCCCTTGTGGGAAACCGCTCTGCTTTTCCTTTTCATCACCAAAAACGTTCCTGTGATCCCAGCTCCACTCTGCCCACCCTCGACCCTCGGCCCTCGGGGTCCTCTCCCGCGCCCTGCGGCTCTTCTCGGGCTCCCCCGGAACCTCCGAGCTGGCTATTTCCTGGGCTCTGGTCCCTGGGTGTCACCACGCCCTCCCGTACAGCTTTGCTCGAAGGCCAGGCAGACGCTGCTCCCTGTACTGTCTGTTTTGTGTTTCTTCAAAGCAACCATCATAGGGGCCGGGGATTTAGCTCTGGTTTCGCTGCCTGCTGCACAAGCACAAGGACCCGAGTTCAATCCCAGGTACCAAAAAAAAAGAAAAAAAAAGCAACCATCACTTACTAATGTTCCGTGTAAATTGTCCTTCGAGCTGTTTATCTGTCTCTTCCCACTAGAATTTAAGCTCCTGGAGGGTAAGAATTTTTGTCTGTTTAGTTCACTGCCTTATCACCAGGCCCTGGAACAATGGCAGGAATTCAAAACGATAGGCGGTGTAGGCCGAGTGTGGTGGCGCCAGCACTCAGGAAGCTGAGGCAGGAGGTAGGCTGTGAGTTTGGGGCCAGCCAAGGCTACATGGTGAGTTCAAGGCCAGCCTGGGCTACATAGTGGAGTCCTTGTCTGAAAAAGAAAGAAAAAGGAGGGAAGGAGGGAGGGAACAATATGTGTAAAATGTTAATGTCCTGACTAGTTTCCAGCCCTTTGGTTTCTAGTACTGTTTCTCCTACCCCCAATTCTCATACTGCTCTCTTCAGGAAATGAGTTCTGGTGAAAGAAACCCAACTCACAGACCTGGTGTGCAGTTACTAGAATGGCACTGTGGCGCACATCTGAATCCTGGTGACAAAGGAGAACTGTAACTCCCGACCTGCTGGGTGTCAGATGTGCCGAGTTCGTGGTCCCACAGCATTGAGAAATGAAGTTGCAAACCAAAAGAAGTTAGCAAAGTTTTATTGGAAATAAGGGGAGAAGAATAGCTCCTGGATTTGCAGGAGGGGTCCCAAGTGGGGTGGCCACTGATCCTTTGTCAGGGGTAATTTCTACGGCAAAGACACGAGGTGGGTGCAGCATGGGTCACACAACCACAGCTGCTGAGCTGGTACTGATGCAGCAGGGAAGCGAGTCACACAGCAAGGGTGGATGGGAAGAACAGAGGCAGTTTGGGAAGGGAAGGTCCAGTGCTCTGTCACCCACCTGGGCAACCGATGCCCATCTGGACTTCCTGCACCAGGTGGTGCTAATCACAATGTGATCTCACAATTATTATTTATCCCTTAGGGAGGCCTGCAGGCCTGGCCATTGCATCTCTACCTTGAGGCCTGGCCTTCTTCAGATGCGCCTCCAGCTACGATTCTAATGCCTTCCCCTGCTTCACTGACTTCTTTGATAACCCAGTCCCCCTCTGAATGTATTGTGTATTTATTTCTATCTAATTTAGCTGCCTGTAATACCAGCACAGGAGCCTGAGGCAGGAGGATTGCTCAAGGCCAGCCTGGGCTACATAGTTGAAGACCAGCCCAAACTACATAGCAAGACTGTATCTCAAAAAGCCAAAAATAAAAAATTTTTAATGTCATTATAGAAGTTTTTAAAAAGTTGGGGCGGGCATGGTGATGCATATATCTGTGATCCCAGCACTTGGGAGGCTGAGGCAGGAGGATTTGCCGCGAGTTCTCAGCCAGCCTGGGCTACATAGTGAATTCAAGCCCAGGCTCTGTCTCAAAAATAAATAAAATTTTTTTAAAAAAATAAATTTTCAATAAGAAAAGGTTAGATTTCTGACAAAGGTTACATATGCTTCTTCTAAGCCAACTGATTGAAAATGGAGCTGTTTTAAATTAAGTTTATTAAAAATGTGGCCACGGGGCCGGGGATTTAGCTCAGTGGTTTCACCACCTGCTGCACAAGCGCAAGGACCCGAGTTCCATCCCTGGTACCAAAAAAATAAAATAAAACATTTTTAAAAATGTGGCCACAAGTGTTCAGGGCTGTAGGAGGGAAGATGGTTAAAGGCGCTCGCATTGCAAATGCAGTTTTGGAACAGGAGTATGGGAAAGGAAGGGAAGCCAAGATTGCCAAACCTACAGACATTTCCCTGCGGATTTCAAGGAAAGCAACAACTCAGGAAAGTGTGGCGCTCCGCTAGAGGCAAGCTAGAAATGCAGGCATGCACAGCAAAGTGTTCTGCATAGCACGGGAAGGGCCCGCTCACTCGGGCAGCTTGCGGCGTAAAATAAACCAAGCTCAAATTCCCTGGCAGACATCTGAGCGATCTTTGCCACGAGTTGTGGCGGTCGTGGCCTCCAGTCTTCATGACACTCACCCGCACAGTCATCTGGTCACCTTACCCAAGTACTCTCCTTAGCCACAGGAGTCTTCTTCAAGTTCGGAGGCTTTTGGTGCAAAGGCTTGTCCTCCCTTCAGGGCCCAGCCGCTGCAGGCTTACAGCAACTTCTGCCCACCTGTAGGACAGGTGGTTGTAGGACGACCAGCGTCCAGGGATCACTTCTGAAATCTGGAAGAAAAAAATACGAGACCCTGAGTTCTGGTCATATTTGAGGGCCACAGAGGCCTGAGCTTGTTAAATAGTTGGTACTGATGTCTAGTCCAAGCTTGCTTCTTTGACCTGGAGCAAATCACTTAGAGAAAGCAAGAACTGCCCTGCAGATCCCTTCACGACTAACCTTCTCCTGGGGGAATCCTTCACTGGACCCTGAGGGGAAAGGCAGCTTAGGTTTTCTCATCTGCGAGAGATAAACTCCTGATCTGCAAGTGTGGGGATTACATTTTCATGTCCTGTGGAGTTTGATGCACTTGATTTTCTGAAAGAGTGAAAGAGAGACACCACGAGGGTCCCTACACATCTGATTTCTCAACGTAAAGCTCTGATTTTCTAGAGAAGCGCCTTTTTCCTGGAAACTTGCCAGCCATAAAGTACTCAGCCATCACTTCAGCAGTCTCGGGAGGGGCGGGGCTTGAACCGGAGCTTCACACAGCCGTGTGCTCTGGGCTGCACCACTCCAGCCACATCTCAGCCATGGCAGCGCACAGGTGTTCGGAGGAGCCGGGAACTGGGAAACTTGCATCAACCCAAACTTGCCCTACAATCAAGTCTTTTGGCCCCCGAGAGGGCTTTCTCAGAAGCAGCACTGTCACTTGCTTAAATATGTAGAACTCTTTTAGGCAAAATGAGGATTCCTCTCAAGTTACCAAGAAAACCAAAGTAAAGTAAAATCTGCAATATCATTTACTTGATGATTTGATTTTTTTTTTTTTTTGGTGGCGGGGACCAAATGCAGGGCCTCATATATCCTAGTAAGGGCTCCACCCTGGAGCTGATACAGGAGAACTATAACTTCCAATCAGTAGGTGTCAGACT